ATGTATTATTGGATCATTTTCCTCAATAAATAAATGACCAAGTATAAAATTTTTGTCTAATTTGTTTAACTGGGTTCTCTTTTTCTTCTTTTAGGACTTGTGTGAAAATCTGATGATGTTGTAGGTCATAATTATGTAGAAATATAAAAAACGATTAAGTGTTAACAAACTTTCAAGCACCACTGTATATTGTACATCTCTATGAGAGTGACCATTATAAATTTAATGATGACAAAATATCTTATTTTTATAAACGTTTTAAAAAAAAGTGTTTGGAAGGGACTTGTAGAGGATTATAGGATGTCAGAGTCCATCCTAGCCTGCAATGGCTGAGATGTGAGGGACATCCAGGACAATTTTACAGTCCATTGCAGGGTTAGCACACAGAGACATAATCGCTGTCTCAACTTTTGCCAATAAAACATGGCCGCTTAATCTAATGACTGCCCCAGGAGCACCTGGGAAGAGCAGCTAGATGCAGTGTTACTCAGTGGTTCCAATATAATCATTTAAGACATTCTACATTTATGTAAAAAAGTTGCAAGAGGTCAAATAAATTCTAGACATTTTTCATTCCTACTTTGAATTAACATTGGTAACCAGTTTACTGTTGCATTTCTAAACAGCATTTGAATCCTCCTAATTTTTGTTTTCCCATTGTTTGATGAGCAGATGCCAGCCTTGTGCATGTGATCCAGTGGGTAGTGCCAGTGATTTGTGTCATCCAGACACAGGGGAATGTGTGTGTAAGCTGCTGGTAACTGGAAACAAATGTGATTCTTGCCAGCCTGGAGCAAGTCATCTTGATCTTGAAAACCACTTTGGTTGCAGTAAAGGTGTGTTTACACTTGGATTTACACATGCATGAAAGTACTACAATCTTTATTGAGTGATACATATTATGCTGTAAGAAATTCTGTTTTTGTTTCATTGTCTGATAAACATAAATGTATTGCCTTCTACTGGAATAGCCCAACATGATTACAGAACTACTCACTAACTTGCAAGGGACCTGGTGTACCCTCCCTTCTTGTGTATTACTGGGTGAAAGGACTGGTCACAGTCCATCACAACACCAGCACTGAAACATAAAAAAAAAAAAAAAATATGCACCCCTCACACCTAAGGTCGATTTAAATCCACCAGTTAACCAAGCGTGCATATTTTTGTATTGTGGAAGGAAACCAAACTGTTCAGAAAAAAATTATTACATGTACAAGGAGAACATAAAATATTCATACAAGAAGCCCAATAATGGTCATTCAGGTCATCTTGACAGTTTTTTTTTTTTTTTTTTTTTTGTGGAAAGATGTTTGCCCTCCATCCAGAGGGCTTCATCAGTCTGAGGAGTCCCAAGTAA